TGCCCCTGGGGGACGTGGCTGCGCGCCCGCCTCTCCGGTCCCCTCGCGGGCATTCGGCTGTCAGTGCCCGGGCACCGACCAGCCAAAGGGGAAGGTCTGGTCCTCGGCGTGCGTTGGGCGCTGGCCCCCCGACCTCCCACTTCCCTCTGCCTTCTCCCAGCAGCAGAGCGCTGTCCCCGATGTCCCTGCTGCCTTCCTCTCCAGAATGGCCCAGCTGAGCCCAGGACTGGCTCCCGGCTCCAGCCCTTCCCAAGCAGTGCCGGTGCCGGTGCCGGGCACCCAGCCAGGCCCGCTGCTGGTCCCCAAGGCAGAGCGGCTGTCCCCCACGTCGGCTTGCGGTGAGTCTGGGGCACCCCAAGGAGCTCCACAGGACACTGCGTCTCCTGCAGGGACCTTGGACCAAACATTGTGGGAATGTTTCATGTCGGCTCCAGCCCCAGCTGTTCACATGCGCCCAGCTGAGCACGGATGATTTCTTTCTGCGGGAGAGGGCACAGCCCCTTCACCTGCCTCCTTCTACAGGGGCAAAAGCAGAAATGGGAAAAGACAAAGAGAAGCAAAATGTCAGACTGTGGTTTTGAAAACCCGGAGCCTGGTTTTCAAGTGGGAAGAACCCTGCTTTCACCCACAGAAACCAGAGCGGTGACTGGAAACCAGGCTCTGGTGTCGTTTCCAGTTTCAGTTTGGCGCTGCAGACCGCAGCCTTGCTGCTGTCGGGACTCTCTCCTGGTGATTTCCACCCCAAGAAACACCAGGAATTTAAAATGTCACATCCCACATGTTCCCATTTATGAGCAGTGGTAAAAAGAGTGGGATTTGGGATAAGACAAAGGGATAAGATGGGGTCGGATGCTGGACCGGAGCATCCCCATCAGCCGAGCGGGGTGGCTGCCCAGGGGCCGGGGTAGCGCTGCGGGCTGCTCCTCTCTGCCCGTCCCAGCACGGGACCCTGGTGCCAGCCCGTCACGAGGGGCTGCTGCCCCTCTCCCCACAGCATCACCTTTCCTTTTCCAGGCAGCGACTGGCTCAAGCCTGGCCAGGCTTCCCCAGGAACCGCCGTGAGGCTGGGCGCTGGCATCTCCCTGCACCATCCCGGGTCCCGTCAGGGCAGGCCTGAGTCCAGCAAGGTATGGCAGGAGCGAACGCTGCCTTCGCTATGGGGGCACCATCTCCATAGGCACCCCCCTTTCCTGCTGCCCCCCAAACTCCCCCCCTACCCCTGCTGCGAGCTCTGGGCCAGCCCATCCCCGATGGGGCAAGTAGCCCAGGGCTGTCCCCACAGCCAGGAGGTGCCTGACAGCGCTTGCCCGCAGATGGAGAGCCGCCGCATCACGCACATCTCTGCCGAGCAGAAGAGACGCTTCAACATCAAGCTGGGCTTCGACACGCTGCACAGCCTGGTGAGCACGCTGAGCGCCCAGCCCAGCATCAAGGTGAGCACCCAGGGCTGTGTGGACAGGCCCTGGGCATACAGGGACACGGCGTGTCACCCGGGGATGCTGCGTCCCTGGTCTGACCCCGTGCACGGGGCTCCTGCCCTGCACCCCAGCCTGTGGGGCAGGAGGCCACGAGCCCACACCAGGCACACGGAGACTCACGTGGTGCCAGGGTGGTCTGGGCTCTGGAGCCTACGGCAGAAGCTGCCGAGGCTCAGTAGCAGGGAACATGGCACCTCGCGCTGCCAGCCCCGCTGCACGAAGCACCGGGTGCCCCACACCCTGCCCACCCTGGGGGCTCCCTTCGTCCTCTCACCCTGTGGCCGCACAGGTCAGCAAGGCCACCACCTTGCAGAAGACAGCCGAGTACATCTGCAAGCTGCAGCAGGAGCGGGCAGCCCTGCAGGACGAGGCGCAGCGACTGCGGGAGCAGATCAAGGAGCTCAATGGCTCCATCAAGTAAGGGGGACACGGCTGGGGGAGGCGGGAGGGAGCCACTGCCTGCATCAGAGTAGCCACACAGGGCAAGCGGCAGCACCAGGCAGGCAGCAGGACACAGCAGCTCTTCTGAGCACCTCCCAGGACCTGCATTTCCCTCTGTCCCCCCTCAAAGCCTGTTTCGCTGTGGGGGAATGCTCAAGAGGCAGTGCTATGTGGGACCAGAGCATGGGGCCGTGTCCCACAGCTGCCCTGGGAGGGGGACACTGCCTGCCCACCCCTGCTGGGTGCTGAGTCCTGCCAGAGCCTCTCCCCATGGGGCGGCCCCTGCGGCTCCCGGCCTCCTGAACAGGGACCCACGGCGCTGCTCGTGCCCCACAGCCTGTGCCAGGAGCAGCTGCCGGCCACGGGGGTGCCCATCACGCGCCAGCGCTTCGACCACATGCGCAGCATGTTCGACGAGTACGTCCGCTCCTCCACGCTGCAGAACTGGAAGTTCTGGATCGTATCCTTTGGGGCCAGCGTCTGCTGCTTGCTCTGACCCCTCCACCAAGCACCAGGTCCTCTGGTTCACCTGCTGCTCCCGGGTCCGTGGGGTACCTCTGGCTCGAGAGGCTCTGGGGACCACGGGGAGATGTTTCCCAGCCAAGGGCACATGATGGGAACACGCTGAGATGCTGTGGTTAGGAGGAAGATGCTGTTGCAAGGGAGCAAATGGAGTAGGAGTACATGGTCAGTCCTCGGGGAGAAGGAAATCACTGGCGGAGCTGAGCTCACGCGGGGAAGAGCTCCTGGTGACATGGGAGCTGGCTCTGAGAGGCAGCAGCCATCAACCAGAGATCAGGAAAGGTCCAGAAACAAAGCTGGGGACACGATGGCTTGGCCTTGGCGGCCTCGTGGCACACCCTGGAAACCCAGGTGTGCCCTCGCCTGGGACACAAGTCTGGGCTCCACACGGGGGAGAGGATGGAGACAACCAAGGGCCAGGGAACAGGCGGTCAAAGGGCTGGTCCTGCTTCTCTCTGAGCGGGGAGGGATTAGACACTGGGACCATCAAGCCTGCAGAGACTGGGAGGTTTACAAAATCCCAAGGGGCAGAGGGATGGGCAGGCCTTGCTGCCCACAGTCCGCTCCAGCGCAGGCAGCCTGGGCAAGGCAGAGGTGGCTCCTGGCAGAGTCTGGGAGCGCTGTGGAGCTCCTTCCACAGGACGCTGGGTACACTAAAGCCAACACCAGCTCCAGGACGTGCTCATGGTGCGGGTATCTGCTGTGGATTACTACATGCACAAAGTCCCCAGTCCCCAGCGGTGGTTCCTGCAGGCTGGGAGCACCAGGGGAGCACACTGGACACACTGGTGTCGTGCCCTGCTCCTGGGCACTTCAGAGGGCACTGCGCTAGCTGGCTCCGGATCTGCTCTGGAAGAGTTGTCTTGTGTCTCAATAACCATTTCTGGCAGCCCCAGCCGTGACGGGGTTACGCAGCTCTCCCGCTGCCTGCCTCGGGTGACACTCATGTCCCCGTCACCCCAGCAGCAGGGGCTGGTGCCCAGCGCGGTGCTGCGCTGGGGCAGGCACCCAGCAGGTCTGCTCCGTGGCCGGGCAGGCAGGTTTGTCCTGCTGCCTGTAGGAGGGTGCTGCCCACACCTGGCGGGTGGGAGACCACGGCCTTGGCAAGGCGGGTCCTTAACTCCTCTGCTCCCATCAGTTCAGTATCATCATCCGGCCCCTCTTTGAGTCTTTCAACGGCATGGTCTCCACGGCCAGCATGGAGAGCCTCACCCAGACATCTCTCGCCTGGCTGGACCAGCACTGCTCCCTCCCAGCGCTTCGGCCGAGTAGGTGGCCCCGCTCCTGTCCATGGCACCCCGCAGGGGCCAGGCTGGCCTGTGGGCACGCACTGATGGAAAAGCAGAGGCAAAAAGGACGGGGGCGTCCTGGGGGGTGGTGGGGCTGGCGCTTCTGCCAGACAGGAGGGAAGCACCCGCGGGAGGTCCTGGGGCTGCGGGCTTGCAGCTTTTCCGTGCTCCTTCCACACCCAGCTCAGCTGGCTGCTGCTGCCCTAACCCGAGGGCCCCTGTCCTGGCTCGGCCAGGCGCAGCCCTCCCCACAGCCCCACAGGCTGGGTTTCCCTTCACCCCTTCTGCTGGGAGGGAGCTCTTGTCCCATTCATGGGACATGGCAGGGCTGAACCGGGGATGGGAAGAGCCATCTCCCACAGGACAGCTTAATCCACGCTCCTTCCAGCCCCCAAGGCATGGGGGGGCATCTGATGATGTCCCACTTCTCCCCACAGCCGTCCTGAGCTCCCTCCGGCAGCTGAGCATTTCCACCTCCATCCTGAGCGACCCGGCCTGCGTCCCCGAGCAGGCGACGCAGGCAGTGGCGAGGATGGGCCATGGCAGCAGCTCCTCCTAGCCCACCCCAGAGCTGGAGGGGCTTTCCCAGCCTTGCCGAGACCCTTGGTGCTGCCAGAGAAGCGCCCACCGATGCCAGCAAGGAGCCCCCGGCACATGGACTTTGCCATGTACAACACAAGGAGAGGAGGCGGAGGAGCACTTCCTCGCTGTGCACGCCCAGGCCATAAGAGCCTTGGCTTTTGACACCAGCAGCCGCTACCTGGTCTCCTGTGGGGACCGCGCCATCT